TGCTGCTGCCGTCAGCAGTTACATCATCAATGAAGACAAGTGAGCCAGTTCCAGTGGCAGCCATACATGCCTGAGCCATAACACCCCCTCCACCATATTTCACAGATGAGGTGGTATGTTGTGGATCTTGGGCAATTCCTTTTTCCCCCCCACACTTTCCTCTTGCCATCACTCTGGTACATGTTAATCTTGGTCTCACCTGCCCACAATACCTTTTTCCAGAACTCTGCAGGCTCTTTTAGGTACTTTTTAGCAAACTGTAACCTGGCCATCCTGTTTTTGAGGCTAACTAGTGGTTTGCACCTTGCAGTGTAGCCTCTTTAGTTCTGCTGGTGAAGTCTTCTGTGGATGGTGGTGGCTGACACATCCACGCCTACCTCCTGGAGAGTGTTCCTGATCTGTCGGACAGTTGTTTTGGGTTTGTTCTTCATTATGGTGAGCATACTTCGGTCATCCATTGTAGAGGTCTTCCTTGGCCTACCAGGCCGTTTGTGATTGCTGAGCTTGCCAGTGCTTTCTTTCTTTTTAATGATGTTCCAAACGCAAAGCCTAGAATTGAGACTAGACATTGACAGCTCTCTTATGCCTGCACAAATGATATGACGTAACACACCTGACTAACCTGAAACACCTGTCAAGCCAATTGTCCCAATACCTTTGGTGCCCTGAAATAGGGGGGACTATGTATAAAAAGTAATGTCATTTCTAAATGGTACAACCAATATGTACACACATACCCTCAAATAAAAGCTGAGAATATATACTTTAAAACATCATAGTACAGTAATTGTTTGATTTAGGGTAGAGAGCCAAAAGAAGAAAAAATGCTTTATTTCCTGTCCCAATATTTACAGAAGGCACTGTACTTGTGCTGCAAATTCAGTACAACCACTGAGGACATGAAAGACTGAAATCCCTTGGCCTTGGCTCTCAAGAGGCATATTAAATCAACACAGCAACATTATGGTGTTAATGTGTTACTAAGAGGGCCAAACATTTGTAACTCACATGAAGGGTGGTGTCTGTGTTGCTCAGCAATGGTCTTGAGTATGTGTCTTGGGTCGACACTGCCCACCAGTAAAACATTTACCTCCCCTTGCTGCCTTTGTGTCTGTGTGTGTGTGAGAGAGAGATAATCCACTGTTAATATGAAAACGAGGGGATTGACTTACATTGGGATTAAAATGCAGCACTCACTGTAATACTGTGGCTGGCATGCTGGCCCTGTAATCAAGGTCAGCATGCCAGGTACACTGGACCCACTCCAATTTGTCTACTGCTCCAACAGATCCATGGAAGATGCCATTTCCATCTCTATTCCCTCCAAGCTCGACACCAAGCTCAGAGCCTGGGGTCTGGACACCACCCTCTGCAACTGGATCCTGGACTTCCTGACGGGCAGACCACAGGCTGGGAGGATTGGCAACAACACTTCCTCTACACTGACTCTAAACACAGGGGCCCTCCAGGGGTGTGTCATTAGTCCTCTGCTGTACTCCCTGTTCACCCACGACTGCGTGGCTTTGCACAACACCGATATCAAGTTTGCTGATGACACCACGGTTGTAGGCTTGATAACCAACAACGACGAGTCAGCCTATAGAGAGGAGGTAAGTGAACAGGCATTGTGGTGTCATGACAACAACCTCTCCCTCAACGTCAGCAAAACAAAGGAGTTGATTGTTGACTTCAGGAAGCAGAGGCGGGAACATGCCCCTATCCATCCACATCAACGGGACTGCAGTAGAGAGAGTCACAAGTTTGAAGTTCCTTGGCATCCACATCACCGAGGACTTGTCATGGACCAACACATCACTTGGACCGTGCTCCCACTCATCCAGGAGCAGGTATGAGGCGTACCGGACTAGCGACACGCACCACTGGTTTGGTGCGGGGAGCAGGCACGTGCGGCACTGGACTGGACACACGCACCACTGGTTTGGTGCGAGGAGCTGGCACAGGCCGTACCGGCCTGTGGAGGCGCACTGGAAGTCTGGAGCTTAGAGCTGGCATAACCCGTCCTGGCTGGATGCCCACTTTCGCACGGCACGTGTGGGGCGCTGGCACAGGACGCACTGGGCTGTGAATGCGCACTGGCGACACAGTGCGTATCTCTGCATACCTAGGTTCCTCAATGAACACACGGTCCTTCTGTTGCCTGACCAGCTCCTCTCTCCGTGCCTCCACTACTTCCTTCTCCCTTTGAGCCTCCTGTAGCGCCTCCCTCTGAACGGATAACTCCTGCTCCCGCTGAGCTAACAGCCCCCGTAACGTGGTGGCCTCCTCTCTGACTGCTCCAGTCCTTCTCTCTCTCGCCAATTCTCCTCCAGTGAGGACTCCTCCGGGAGCCCCCACGAGTTAGGGAACAGAACCTCATCGTCGTCGTCATCCTCCGACTCCTCCATGTAAAACTGTTCCCATTCCTGTTCCCATGGTCGTAGCGACTCCAACTGGAACCCCACCGGGTGCAGTGATCGGGGCTCTTCTCTCTCGATTCCCAACCACCCCTTTAGCCCCCCCAAAAAATTATTGGGGCTGCCTCTCGGGCTTCATCCTCGGCCGGCGCCGTCGCTGTCGCCGTTGCTCCTCTCCTACCCGGGCTTCCTCTGTCCGTTCCCAAGGACGGCGATCCAGCCCAGCCTGGATCTCCTCCCATGTCCAAGATCCCTTTCCATCCAGGATCTCCTCCCATGTCCAGGATGTCTGCCCCTGGCCACGCTGCTTGGTCCTCGAGTGGTGGGATCTTCTGTCACGATCGTTGAGAGACGGGTCGGACCAAGGTGCAGCGTGAAAAGCGTACATGTTTATTAACTCAATAAACAAAACAAGAATCAAAGTAATGTGAAGTCCTAAGGCTATACACATACAAGCCTAAACGGAACAAGATCCCACAACTAAGGTAGGCAACCAGGCTACTTAAGTATGATCCCCAATCAGAGACAACGAGCGACAGCTGCCTCTGATTGGGAATCACACCCGGCCAAACATAGAAAGATCAACCTAGATCTGCAACATAGAAATAGACTAACATAGATCTCAAATAGACATTCACACCCATAGGTCAGGGCGTGACAGCAAGATACGTAAACATTATTAAAGTGACTAGTGTTCAATTTCTTAAAGTGGCCAGTGATTTTTAGTCTATGTCTATAGGCAGCAGCCTCTAATGTGCTAGTGATGGCTGTTTAACAGTCTGATGGCCTTGAGATAGAAGCTGTTTTTCAGTCTCTCGGTCCCAATTTTGATGCACCTGTGCTGACCTTGCCTTCTGGATGATAGCGGGGTGAACAGGCAGGGGCTCGGGTGGTTGATGTCCTTGATGATCTTTTTGGAAACTGTAACTTGTATCATGTTATCTGATGATAATCTCCTACAACTTTTGTGCCGTGTGTATTTTAGGAGCTACAATTCTACAACCTACTACAGGTTTGAAAACTGGTATTTCCATAATTTAAAAAAATGTTTTACATTATTATTTTCCAGACAAAAATATTATCCATGCCTGTCTAACGTATTTTGAACGTTGGCAAGAACAGGTCAGTCATGTGAGTCTCACCTGTGCACAGGAGGTCACGCGCAGGACTGAAGCCCCAACAGATCACACAGCCCGCACCCTCCAAAGTTCGTCCAGTGCTCATTCTGTTGTAACGTTAAGTTGTTTATTTGCACTGGGTACGTTTATTTCCACTGGGAAAAATAGCTAACTTTCTCAAGACGCTAGCCTGACAACCCGACGTTGCATTTCATTGAATTCTACGTCAGGCTTAAATTAGCGTTTGGATCAGGAAAGTTTCCTCTCACGACCTCTACAAACCAGAATGTTGAATAAAATGACCTTCAGCCTAAGTCTCACAGACGCTTGAATTACAGACACGCGCCACCGTGCCTGACAATTATCCGTGCGGTTGGTGTTTTTGCAGGTAGAAATGGGAGACAATACTGTATATCCACAGGAAAGTATAATTAAATCAACTTTTCAAAGCGCTGGTAGTGCGTTCAGATTTCTATCACCTGAAGCATGCGCAGAACCATGGAAACACGTGCACGAGCTCGTCAAGTTTCATCTTGTGCGCATGCTTCAGGTGATAGAAATCTGAATGCATTACCAGCGCTTTGAAAAGTTTATTTAATTATACTTTCCTGTTGATATATAGTCTCAAATTCCTAACTGCAAAAGGACCAACCGCACAGACAACCGTTAAAGTCCGTTGAAAATATCATTTTATTCAACATTTTGGCTTGTAAAGACCGTGAGAGGAAACTTTCCTCATCCAAACTCTCATTTATGCCCTACGTAGAATTCAATGAAATTCAACATCGGGTTTTCAGGCTATCAAGACACTAACTGATCCTCACTGTGGTTTGACTTCACTGGGAATGTTGTTGTTACCATGCATGCAAACTCATGAGAGAAGAGAGATCATTTTCATCATGATGAATTGTGGAAAGGAAACACAAGTCAAATACAGTTAATTTGAATTTGATGCTTCTGAAATTAGCCAGTGGCATGACATTTGAATAAATGAAAATCACCTTTCTTGTCAGGGCACTCTCAAGCCAGGCTTGTTCAGGGTCTAGTTTGTGATGTGTTGCTAAGCAACACTTTCTCTGTGATGAAGAGTAGAGCCCTTTGTGTCCTTCTTGTGTAACTGCATGTGAGGAAAATACCATCTCTGTTTAGGGTTGCAGCATTTTTCATGGTGTAGATCAGATGCATGAGACAAAACCCCACCATTTTTTTAATGATCATTTATTTTGTATAACTGAAGTCACTGAACAAAATTATTTCTATGACTAGGCAAAATTGTGAGCATTATTTAGCACATTGACATATCCTCACACTGCATTTAAATGCTTTACTAACGCAAATGGTTGCGGTACCTTACGACCAACAAGCAAAACATATTGCAACGCTAATTCTGACTATAACCACTGCCACTAATTACTTATAACCACTGCCACTAACAGACATGCAGTTCACACAATCAGAAGTAGTCTATTTGTGTGAAATGCAAGCTTGTCAATGAGTCAAAAAACCAATTGAATTCCTTAATCTGATTGCCTGTAGCCTATAAGGCCTTATAACAAGGGCACACATTTTACAGATAAATATTTTCTACATATATCTACATTTAGAAACCAAAAGAGTGAGTTTTATAAAACAACTAAATAAACATTGAAACAAATGGAGGTCATTTAAAAACATCAAATGGAATCAGACACACAAAAACATGAGCGCTCATGTATGCATGAATGCACGCTGCGATGTGCGCACACACACACTTAACAAAAAAAGAATGACAAAAAGAGATGACAGAAAAGAGGCAAGCAAACCAAGAGGTCTTAACAATACTGAAAGACATACCAAAACATTTTGAATGATCCAAGGATATTAAGGAAATCATTAACGAGGTGGGACCTTCAGAGCTGCATCCACTTCCTCCTCTGGGCAGAGGACATGCCACTGAGCAACTGGACGTCTGGGATTAGCCAACATTTCCGACCAATGTTTAAGACCAACTCCTGTGGCACCGTAACCCATGAAGGTCTTGCCGATTGCGTCGTTACTCCCAAGCTTGTCATAGTCATACACTGTTATGACGACCTGCACTTTCTGAATAAGAAACACAGAAGATACATTACAACACTTTAATAAGCTACTATACTTTCAGAATACTGACTGGGTACTCTACATGTAGATTGATGAAGCAAAAATGTAATACCTGGATCTGCTCGAAGGGAATCTCAAAGCTGAAGCTCTCATTGAAGTAAGGATTGAGTGTGTTCTTCTTGACAGTTGTCTTTTTCTTCTTGATTCGTTTCCCATTGTGCTGCAGAACAATCTTCACAAATGGATCTGAGGGAAGGATGAAAAAGAAGGGCGTAAGCCAATTAATTAGTCAATGTTTTTTGGTAGACCTTGATCAGACAAAGGTGCATGCAGGACAGCTGGCAGATGCATGAGGAGCGATTTTAAAACACATAAAATCTCTGCAATGGAGGAATCTGTAATCATGTAAACTGAAAACGTTGCTGATATGTTGCTGATATGTTTGCGAGAGGCAGCACAACTTCAGAGGAAGTATGAGAAAAGACACCTATTTGTTGCTAGATTTAGAATCACCTGATAAGCCACCAACATCCATCTTCTTTAGGTTCTTGGCCTCCATGATGTTGATAGTAAGTTTGCCAGCAGTGGGTACATAGCGTAAAGAAATGCAGACATCACCCAGTTTCTCTGCCTGAGAGACGCACATAACAACAACATGGTGTTAAACCACCAGCCAGAAACTGATCAAATAAGACATAAGGAAATATTATATCATGTTGTGATGTGATCTATCCATCATGCGACGGGGGGTGACTGGACGGATGACCAAAGAGATAGTAATACCACAGTACATCATACCTCTTCTTTTTCACTGTTCTCCAGGTCCCTCCAACATTGCATTGGTTGTCCCAGATCCACACTGTTCATGGGGATCTTTATCTCCCCAATCACATCATGCTTGGAGAAACGGTCAAAGTCGAAGACCTGCAACACCAGGATCTTCCCTCCCAACTCTGTGTACGGGATCTTGGAGGAGAGGCAGAGGCATTAGTCACAAGTGCATGTCTGGCTGACTGGTGCTCCTCGACAGAGAGATTTATGTAATACGTTGTTTGCTCTAGGTTAGAGTTATTAAAAACCAACATTGGTTAGTGCGGTTCTTAATTGGTAGATCAATGACAGGTGGTTTGTCGGAATTGATCAAAAACAGTTCTATGTAAAACTTATCATGCCAACATATAAATATAACTTACAAATCCAGAAAAACAAAGCAAACAAACAAAAACATATATTGACTGGTGACAAGTAAAAATGCATTCTTAATTCTGCATTTTTAAAGTTGTTCGGGGATACCTTGAAGGACGGCAATCAGAGAACGAGAGACAAACTACGGAGGGAAGCACGGACATGGGCTTGACTTCTGCCCACATGAACTCAGAGACCAACAAGTGATACATCATCAACAACCTGGAACACCAACACAAGCTGCTACAGAGACAGAAAAAAAAACAGACACAGACATATAAGACAAACAAAATAACAAAGCCACAAGGTCAATCATGACGTAAACCTTGAATATGAAGGTCTCGTTGAAAACCGGGCACAGATTCTTGCGCTGGACCTTAGTTTCATGCTTCTTCTTTTTGTCTGGGAGCAGGTAGACTTTGACATAGGGGTCTGAGGTACCCCCCATATCCATGGCAGCCAGATCCTGAGCCTGGAGGATACCCACCATGAGCTTCGGAGAGAGAAGACCAAGAAGAGGAGTCAGGATCATCAGTTCAATAATAAATCACCCAGATGTTCAAGACATTTCTCCCAGAAAGTCTCAGTTTCAGACATGGTTGATATTAACGTCACACACATTATTGAATGTACAGGTAACTGCCAAAATGATGGAAACACTTCAGTAAATGAGGGATAAAAAATGTATTGAAAGCAGGTTCTTCCACACAGGTGTGGTTCCTGAGTTAATTAAGCAATTATTTTGGCCATTATTTTGGCTACCATGGCTATGCCTCCATAGGATGACAATGCCCCCATCAACAGGGCACGAGTGGTCACTGAATGGTTTGATGAGCATGGCCGTCTCAGTCACCAGATGTCAACCCAATTGAACACTTATGGGAGATTCTGGAGCAGCGCCTGAGACAGCGTTTTCCACCACCACCATCAACAAAACATCAAATGATGTAATTTCTCATGGAAGAATGGTGTCGCATCCCTCCAATAGAGTTCCAGGCAGGGACGGCCTGTTCAATAGGGCGATATGGGCGACGCACTGCCAAACGGGAAAAGGAAGGGATTTTTTTTCTAATCAATTATATCACGGCAACAGTAGTTATCAGTGTTGTAATCTATACGTCTGATCTGCCACAGTGCCACACTGCCACTAAATGTCGAATCAGGCTAAAGTCGTGCTTCAAATGGCTCCACCCCCTTTTGGGGCGATTTCAGTCAGATTGAAAATCGCCCAGAACTTCTGTCATAGACTCCCATGTAAAATCTATTTTTTTCAAATTTCAGAGCCTTCAATACAATCTCAATGGGTGTCTGTGGGCTTGCACTTACGCGCTTTCGTCATACGTTACGTAACCATGAACGTAACTGAGAAAAGAGTGGATTGTTTGAAAGAAGTTCCTTTTTGTCGGCGAACAAATGAAGATAAATTGGCAACGAAACAATTAGGACCTCCCAGACCAAATTTAATAATTCAACAGGTTTCTACTAAAGGCGGAAAGTCCTACACCCGAGGATTTTCCAAAAATTGGTACGAACGAAAAAAGACATTGCCACTCACTCAACTGGATGACGAGGGATACAGGCTAGCTGTCCGCCGCCACAACGATGAGGTTAGTGTTGATAATCACAAGTTTACTGGATGTGGATATGGTGTAATAAAGGCAGTTTATTCAGAGGTAAATATATCTGGAATCGCGTTCACGGACCCGTTCGTCAAACTCTTAAAAATGAACTTGGGCTGGGAATTGCCAGGAACCTCACGATAAGATATATGCATCAGCATTGCGAGTCTCATGATTCTATACGTATTGCGATTCGATACTGTGATTTTATTGCGCACCATATGTCTGTTGCAGAGGGATCAGAAAGCCATGAGAACGAGTTTTGATCAGTCATGGAAATAAAAGTGCTGAAAACAAATTGGCTCCCAATGTGAGAACAAGCTATGAAGGAACAATAATGGTGTTTTGGTGCAGGTACAGCCAACTAGCGCTAAAATATTGCGATATTGTCAATACAGTATATCGTAAAGTATCACTATGTAACTCGATTTCTTTCACCCCAATCCCTCAAATTAACGGTAAATAACTGAATTGTTTGCCCCACATTTAGCTAAGATGATTAGCTAGCCAGCTAAAATGTTTTAGTTAGTTAGCAGTCGCATCTACAATAGTTTACTGTCAATAACATGTCTCCAAAAATGACGTGGTGTCTCCAATTGTGTTGACATTTTACAATTGCAATGCGCATCCATGAGTATCCACTTTCTGTAGCTCAGCTGGTAGAGCATGGTGCTTGTAACGCCAAGGTAGTGGGTTCGATCCCCGGGACCACCCATACACAAAAATGTATGCACGCATGACTGTAAGTCGCTTTGGATAAAAGCGTCTGCTAAATGGCATATTATTATTATTATTATTATTATTATTATCTGAAGAGAGCCCCGAAACATTGTGTGCAGACATTTTATGCAATAGATGAAGTAGGTTCAATCTAGTAGTTCTGATCTTCTGATTGGTCCTGATGAGTTGGACGAGGTCCCCTGCAGGCTACTGTCACTGTTGCATTGGCTCTGAGTCGGGTTCTCTGTCTTCAAATGTTCAGCCTAAGAGAGGGGATTTTTGTGTGTGTGTGTGTGTGTTTAACAGTGATGATGTGTGTGTGTGTGTGTTTGTGTGTGTGTGTGTCCTCAGAGCAAGAACTCGTGAGTTGGAAGAACTGAGAGGCCTATGGCGTGGGTGTTGTCCTTGGCCACCTGCTGACAAGGCTGACAAGATAGGACCCTTTTGTCCATTGTTATTGGATAGGAACAGAACTTATAACCAGCTCCTGACCTAAATAGATCTTAGCACAACATTTTACTCAACATATCATATTCCATATTCACTATAACAAATATATTTACTACGACATTAGCAAGAACCGCCACATCCTCAGCCGGCTAATCCAGTGTGTGAAGTTTTGCGTGTTTGAGTTAGCTTTGTGAGGCAAAGATGAAACTGAGGGCTCCACCAACCCTGGTAAGCCAACACTTTTGAGATCAGTCAATAAATGCTTCTGGTATTGACTTATATGCTGCCCCTGTCTTCATGTTGTTGCTGGACATATCTTTTTTTAAATGTGTGTAGGTCACCTAAATCATCAGAAAAATTGCCCCTCCTGAGAATTTTTTCAGGAGCCGCCACTGGTTCCAGGCACTTGTAGAATCTATGACAAGGTGCATTGAAGCTGTTCTGGCTCGTGGTGGCCCAACACCCTATTAAGACACTTTATGTTGGTGTTTCCTTTATTTTGGCAGATACCTGTATATAGCTAATATTGTCACTCACACCAGTACATTTACATTTTACATTTTAGTCATTTAGCAGACGCTCTTATCCAGAGCGACTTACAGGAGCAATTAGGGTTAAGTGCCTTGCTCAAGGGCACATCGACAGATTTTTCACCTAGTCGGCTCGGGGATTAAAACCAGCGACCTTTCGGTTACTGGCACAACGCTCTTACCCACTAAGCTACCTGCCGCCTTAATCACTAAGTGTATGTACTGATTGTAAGTTGCTCTTACATGTACTGTGTTGTCATACATGAGGCACTGTGTTTTGCGCAGTCATGTGAAACGGCACGATTTTATCCCGCATTATCCAGAAATTAGAATTACACCAAAAATGAAAGCAATTGTCTGAGGATGGTGCTGGACCATCTGACATGAAAAGAAAAGAGGACAGTTTGATGAAAAAGCTTTAAATAATGGTTCAAATCCAGGTCATGTGACATGATTTTGCAAAACACAGGGCCCTAGTCATGCAGTATTACATTTTGTGCCAGAGGGGCCTCTTTTGACAAAGTATTGTACCACACAACAAAAAGACAGCACTTACCTGGGCATCTGTGAAGTTGTAGTCCAAGGAGAACTCCAGCTTTCCCAGCTTCTCCTGTTCCTTCTCCACTCCTTCCCCTTCTTTCTTACCTTTCTCTTCCTGCGCAGACACATATTTTCTGTTTTTGAGTGATACTGCATGGCACTTCCTATATTCGTCATATTCATGGGAAATATGTGCATCTAATCTCTTCATATCTTTCCCCTTTGTCTATCTTACCTTATCGCCACCCTCTCCTCCCCCTTCGTCGTCTGCCTTCCTCCGACGGCCAGCCTTCCTCTCCCTCACTTTCTTCGTTTTTTTCTTTTTTCCAAAGCATTTTTTGAAGAGGCAGAAAGTGCAGCATCCCACTAACACCAACACCACTACGACGATGGCCCCAACTGCCCACATAGGGACTAAAAAAGAAAGAGGTAACAACACAATTAACATCTAAAGACATACTTAACATATGAGAAACTGTACAAAGATACTTGAAACAGTGAGGGAGGCAGAAAATATACCAGGACAAGTTTTAAACCATCTATAAGTGTGTATCACATCTGAATAAGGTTTCTTAATGACGGCGAAAAACTAATCTTAAAGGAAAACGATGACAGACATAATTGCTAGACTTTGATGGGGTTGTTATGTCACAATGTACACAGGAGAAGGGAGGCTAGGGGGCGATAAATCTACCAGTACAGTTGCAGTCAAATATATTGGCACCCTTGCACGATTCACTATTTCTTCTAAAATAAGTTGAAATTGAATAAAACCTTTGATGTTCACATGTGTATTTGTTTGATTTACAACTGCACAGGACCAACATCTAAACTGAAATTGAGATTTTTCACTTTTATGTGAGGCAAATAATTCTTGTTAACTGTGTAATTTATTTCACCTGTGGTAAATTGCAGGTGCCTTCAGGATCAAAATAGCCATTCAACGTGTTTTAAAAAGAAAAACAGAACATTCTGCTCCATTGCACTCCATTGTAAAGTGCAAGGGTGCCAAAACAGTGCCTTCAGAAAGTTTTCACATTTTGTTGTGTTACAGCCTGAATTTAAGATGGATTGAATTGAGATTTTTGATCACAGGCCTACACACAATACCCATAATGTCAAAGTGGAATTATGTTTTTTGAAATGTTTACAAATTAATCCAAAATGAAATGCTGAAATGTCTTGAGTCAATAAGTGCACAACCTATGGCAAGCCTAGAGTATAGGAGTAAAAATGTGCTTAACAAGTCACATAATATGTTGCAAGGACTCACTCTGTGTGCAATAATGGTGTTTAACATGATTTTTGACTGACTACCTCATCTCTCTACCCCACACATACAATTATCTGTAAGGTCCCTCAGTCGAGCAGTGAATTTCAAAAACAGATTCAACAAGGGAGGTTTTCCAATGCCTCGCAAAGAACGGCACCTATTGGTAGATTGGTCAAAATAAGAAACGCAGACACTGAATATCTCTTTGTGCATGGTGAAGTTATTAACTACACTCTGGATGGTGTCTCTGTCACACCAGCCTTCGCTTTGGCACCCCCTCCTGTCCAGCTCAGGCGTTGGGCGTCGTCGGCCTTCTAGCTGCTGCCGAACCTGCTGCTGGCAAACGCCCTTCACTCATCAACCCCGGACTTGTCTCGTCATCATTACACACACCTGGTTCCAATCCCCACTCTATCACTGTATATATACTCCCTCTGTCATTTGTCTTTGTCGGACGTTGTACATGGTGCTTACATTTTCCTGAGTACTTTCTATTTTGCACTGTGGGTTTCGTCCCGCTTTAAGCTATGGTGCTTTAATAAATTCAGTAGTTCTAAATCTGCGACTGCCTCCTGCCTACTCCTCTCAACAAAGCACTAAATTAATTAACTTTTTGTCCTGAATACAAAGTATTATGTTTGGGGCAAATCCAATACAACACATTACTGGCCAAATCTACACTGGAGTTTCTCACCAAGAAGACAGTGAATGTTCCTGAGTGACCAAGTTACAGTTTTCACTTAAATCGTCTTGAAAAGCTATGGCAAGACTTGAAAATGGTTGTCTAGCAATGATCAACAACCAATTTGACAGAGCTTGAAGAATTCTGAAAAGAATAATGGGCAAATATTGTACAATCCAGGTGTGGTGTGCAAAGCTCTTAGAGACTTACCCAGAAAGACTCACAGCTGTAATCGCTCCAAAAGTGATTCTGACATGTATTGAGATATTTCTGTATTTCATTTTCAATACATTTGCAAACATTTCTAAAAATATGTTTTTACTTTGTCATTAGTTGGGTGAGAGAAATAAAAATGATTTAATCCATTTTGAGTTCAGGCTGTAACACAACAAATGTGGAATATGTCAAGGGGTATGAATACTTTCTGAAGGCACTGTATATTTGACCGCAGCTGTAGGTATATTCACAGTAAATGCACATGAGTCTTACTCATTTGAATAAGTCCTGTGAGACAAGAGGAATGACAAAATGGAGATGAAGGGAGATGATGAAGTGACATGATATACCCTGTGTAACACCTACACATTATAATGGTGAAATCCCATAAAAAATAGTGTTCCATTACATAGCTCTAACATCTGTCATGGTTATATGTATGGTCCCATAACTCTCGTTCTATTTTTGTCACCAATTCTCACTCAGTCCCTCCACCCAAAAAACACTGGCGTCAAAAATACATGCAACTATTAAATTGATGCATCCGGATCAGGAAACATGTGACTATTAAACACTCTGAATCTGATTTCAACCTTACACAATAGTTTCAGAGATTACATAACATTTTGGAAAACAGCATCTGGTAGTCCCCAGTCTTGCCCAATTCCTTCTACATGCCAGGAACTACTTACTTGGCAGATGGCCAATCTCGTTCATGAACTTATTCTTCATGTGGTCATAGTTGTGGTGGCCGGGGTGGTGTGCTGGAGGGATGTGGGTAGCTGGCTCCTCTGCTTGTTCTGTCCCTTTCTCATGTTCCTGTTTATGTTCTGCCGGCTGCGTAGCCCGACGGGCCCGGAACCGCAAACTGGCCATCCTCATCTCAGCTGACAAATAGCAGGAACAGGGCAAGGAGGCATAGGATTAGTTGGCCCCAATCAAATATAATTTGTTGTGTCATATTTATATAATTGTATGGATAGTTTATAACATTCACCCTTCTAGTTGCAGTGTGTGAATTTAATAATAATAAATAATAATACGCCATTTAGCAATTTAAGTAGGCTATACATACACACTCACTGTATGTATAATCCATATGTATGGGTGAGCGTCACCTCCTTCATACAGCACCGGACAACTCTAAACCAGATGCTCAACATGGCTGACCCTAATCCCTCTGTGACTCTCATTCTCTCATCGCACCCCTCCCCATAACCCACCATGTTTCCCCCCTCTCACTCCCTCCTCTTTCTTTCTCTCTTTTTCCCCATTTATCTATTCATCTCTCTCTGCTGACAGGTAAATACTACAATATTAATCCAAAATCTCAGACCCAGACCTCTGAAGCTTATGTAAGAGGTGGTTTACCCCCTCGCATTCCCTGCCCACCCAAGACCCTCTCCCAGCATCTCCCACCCTCTCTCTCATAGCTGGTGCTGCTTTCAGGATTAATAGCTCTACGTCTAGTAATTTCAGAGGATAATGTCCAGTGAAATGTACTGTGAAGGGAAAGCTCAATCATAAGCTTTACTTAACATTTCATTGGCTTGTCCATTCTCCTGCCTTACATTTTTGCCTATTTTCAGTCAATCTTTAAAATGCAATAGATGCATCTAGCTAGCACTTCCCGATGAAAATATATTATAATAGACATTTGAGGAAGATAAAAAAAGATCTTAAGATTGTACAGCTGTACAGCTAAAGGTGATCGCTTCATGAAGCATAGTAAACCTAAACATAAAATGATTTGCAGAGAGAGTATGAAGAGTATGAAAATAGGTGATGAACTGAATGCATGTGTAAGACATATTTTCAGGTTTAATTACATTTGTTTTGACATATCTGCTTGGCACCTCACACATTCTAGCTGTGACATAGCGTATATGTTGAAAAGATAAACAAATCATGAATTATTGAAAAAACACTATTGATGTAAAACCTCAAAAGCATAATTTGATATTCCATTTTTTTTTTACATAAGGAAGATAAATATATGTGTAGATAACACAAACCTCCTGATGAATATCTCTGATAACAACACAGCTTATCGCTAACAAATGCCATTCTCATCAATGCAACTGTTAACAATGACTTTCAATGTGAATGTCCAGCCTTTCCATCCCACAAGAAACAGTTACTTTTTTGGTTTTTCGGTTTAGCATCTCCAGTAACATTTCCATTATTCACAGATTTTTGTGTACAAAGAAACTTCTTCAAGTTAGTGCACTAATGTTGTTGGTATTAACACTGCAAACAGTAAGCTATAAAATAATTCAGATGATGACTATGGAATGAAATAGCATTGGGCTTACCTGGTAATATTTTCCCCTCTGTCTTTGCAATCAACAATTTGGAATAAACCACTTTTGTGTCAAAATTCCCCCTGGCACTTGGGAACCCTCACACAACCATCGTTCCTTCCTTCATCTAGATTCCAATTACTATTATGCCCCCCCCCCCCCCCACCCCCCTCTAAGCTAAAGCACTGTCAAATTACTAAAGCAGTGCTTGACATTAATCTCTCTCTCCCCACCCTCTCTATATGAGTATGTCAACAACACATCTGTTGCTCTATCTCTCGGTTTAAATTGGAAAACCATAAGGGCGACGGTGGCCTTTTATTTCAATTTCCTCACTTTGTAGGGAAATCGAACACGTTGATCAGTTTGTGGTTCTCGCCGTGGGAGTAGAAAAGTGACCGTTCGATCATTAGATTGAAGTAGTGTTGGAATGGTGATTTTGTTTCTCCATCAAAGTGGAGATTGAAGTGCATCCCTTATCTCTCTCCACTAATCCCCAGGACAGCTTTCTTCTCAGCCAATCATCTATCTGGGGACTGCTTTCATTGAGTGGATAGTCCATCCTGTTCATCCCTTGGGTTGCCATTTTACAGTACAGAATACACACTCATTTAAAGGAATCTGAGTGATAATCTCAAGACATGGCATGTGGCTACGTCAAGATAAGAAACCCTACACATGCTTATTTTTCTCCCTCTCTCCGAATCTGCAATATTGGAGCACCCATGAAAAAAACTGAAATGGAAACGTTTGACTCAAAATAAATAATTGGATTTGTATGATCCATAAGTATGAATGGTAGTAGTAGTGTAGTAGTAGTAGTAGTATAAATAAATATTGTAGAAATAATTAAATATTCCCAACTTCATCTGCTTCACTGTGGGTGCAGTAGTGCTGAGCAATTAGTGCTTTTTGAGGTTGGTTTGGTTATTAAAAAATAATCACGGTTTTCGATTTCGGTTTCGATCATAAAACAAATATTAAATGCATTATGAAATAATTACATTTAAATGATTTTAGAGCTTTTTAATTGCAATTCCAATGGCAAAAACTATTGAACATTAAATTGCTAAAACATTGAAAACATACCATTGTCTCCTCCACATTGGTAGACATTAATAAAAAAATTGGAAATGATGACGAAATAATAAGTACTGTCTTTGAGCTAGTAGCTGCCTAAGTATGCTGCAGAGTTGTCTGACAAGATCATGTTACTAGTTCTTCAAAGTACTTAAGGCATACTTTCAAGACTGCTTATTAGAAACTACTAAAACAATCAAGCGGGTAGACCTACCTCAAGAACTGTCTCTATCCCCCTTCTCGTTGTGTTGTGTAGCCTACATTCCTTTCTCATGCATCTGTGTGTAGGCCTGTGTGTAGACTATCTGTCTCTGTCCAAGCCGGGAAGAACATGTGCAATGGATTATAGTCATTGTAGTCATTGTAGTTAATGATGTTTCTGCTGCGACACAGAGGAAATTCCAAAAACGTCTGTATTAATGGCGGACACGGTTGGGAGAAAATGTTCCAGAGGAATAAGGAATAACTTTGTAAAATACAAGTATTATGTTTATTTATTCACCAAATTGTGTTAAAATGTTCAACAAATGACTTTCATATAAATGTTGATTTCAAATGTTGAGTCACTGCTGTTTATCAGCCCACTAGCCAAGCTAAGTTAGCTCGTCGGACATGATGGCTAGCTAGCAGACGATCTCGTCCTGGTTATCAGCTCTTTAGGGATGAACAACTAAACAAACAAATCATAAAATCAGCAGTGTCAATTGTGAAGACCCGGACAGTTTGTAATTATGAATTGGTGAACTTGCTTGACAGCTAATGACAAATGTAACAAATTGCAAAAACCTTTTTGGGGTAAAAACATGTTTCAGGGACAGATGGCTACTCATGCATTCATTTAACTCCATGGCATTGGCTTGGCAGGACACAATAGATGTGCCTGACTGGTTTGGAGGCAAGACATTTTAAAAACATCTGATAAAAAATGTAGGAAATGCAGCTAGCTGTGTTCTGTTCGATCTAGGCTTGCTAGTTATTTCTGCATTCTGACATGGTCAGACAATACATACTGTTTGCCTAACGTTAGCTAACTTTCTTCTTGTCACTTTCCCCTCCCCTTGTGTTTCACCATTGCATATAAAGAGAACGTTTTGAATAATGAAATTATCCATTAAAAGTAAAATTGGTGACAACTTGATCAACCCTATGAATATGCAAAACTGTTTACAAAACAATTAACAAATGCAGTTGTGGTTCTAAGCAACTTGAACCGGCACTGAAATTTGAGCAGTGAGGTAAATTGATCCTCCCTTGGCCTTATGTTTTTGCTCTGTTCTCCTAAAGTTGAAGCACATCCCACCCCATCACCCAGACAGATGTAAAGAACTTGGGAACCTCCCATCCACCAGGAAAATCACTGTATCCCAGGAGTTTAGTCAGGAGTTTATTCAGCAGTGTGCAACGTCACTACGTTAGAAGTAGATCCACACGTTATTCTCTATCATGCAGAATTGTCAGCTCATTGTAACATATGAAGCTCATTCTAAAATAAAGACGTGGGTGATTTCTGCCCCAGGGTACTGCACCGTGTGCATGTTTTTATTCCTGCCCAGCAAACACCATGTTCAACTATTCATCATCTACAATTTAGACCACAGTTAGTTGAATGAGGTGTTAGTGAAAGGCTGGAACAGAAACCTACATAAACTGTGTATAAAAAACCTGTGGCTGTCATGACAATATTTGCCCTCGTACTGAACAAGCTTTTGAATGTTAATCTAATTGATGTCCCTCACTTGGGGATGCTAAAAGGTTTATTCTCCTGAGCCATTTACTTTATGTTCATATTCTATTGTTGATTGTTGCATTGTCGAGAAGAAATCTGCAAGTGAGCATTTCTTTGGACCATATGTATCCTGTAGATACGACTAATAAAACTTGAAACTACTGTGTTCTAAGGATTCATGCACAGATACAGGAAAACCCCAAAAAAGGGTTAATAAGTGTTGACGTCTCCCCATGGTTTTGAAGCTTGGGCATCTGGGGGCTGCAGTTCATCTGTCTAATCTCCTGCAAGGAGAGAGAAAGACATTCATAATATTACAATGGTGTAGTCATTTAATTTAATGTATATTCCTGTTTGATATGCATGCATATACACTGAACAAAAATATAAATGCAACATGCAACAATTTAAAAGATTTTACTGAGTTACAGTTCATATAAGGAAATCAGTCAATTTATATTCATTAATTAGGCCCTAAACTATGGATTTCACGACTGGGAATACTGATATGCATCTGTTGGTCACAGATACCTTAAAGAAAAGGTACGGACGTGGATCAGAAAACAAGTCAGTATCTGGTGTGACCACCATTTGGCTCATGCAATGCGACACTTCTCCTTCGCATAGAGTTGATCAGGCTGTTGATTGTGGCCTGTGGAATGTTGTCCTACTCCTCTTCAGTGGCTGTGCGAAGTTGCTGGATATTGGCGGGAACTGGAACACGCTGGCATACACGTCAATCCAGAGCATCCCAAACATGCTTAATGGGTGACATCTCTGGTGAGTATGCAGGCCATGGAAGAACTGAGACATTTTCAGCTTCCAGGAATTGTG